GACGTTGTAACTGAGTTAACGGATCAAACGGTTGGCACGTAACAAAAGTAAAAAAAAAATTATATAAACGACATATAATTATCTTAAACAGCGGCACTGATGCCCAGTTGAGTTGCCACAGACATCTCGAATCAATATTTACTTTGGTGTAGAACATAAACGCCGGTGTATCGATTTTTGACTCCGAAAGTTTCAGAGTTCCTAGTCGAGGACCGTTGGTCGCGTCGCCGACATCCATAACCACAGAGAACTGCACATGATTCATGGTGAAATTCCGTGAAAAATAACCAAACGGAAACGTACACCAAATTCGATTTACAACAATGCGTTGGAAAATTCGACTAACAGAAGACCGTTCGATTCGCTGCCATGTGGAAACGACTCCGTCGTTTTGTTTGAATAATTTTTTCTATAATTTGATTATGGTCCACTATCAATGCTTTGTTATCTATGTTTACGTTCTGTTATCGTTACTGTTTCGTCGCGTTATCATAGTACAGTGCACATGCAGTGAACAGTTGCCGAACGTTACGTTAAAACAATTTAACCATATTTTGAAAACTCGTCAGAAAATTGAGAACCAAATATTGTTTCCACTCATTGACTACCGCGTCGCAAGGTTCGCAGCATACTAAACGATATCATTTAGAAGTCATCCGAGATGGTCTACTTACACTTTCCGACGAATCTGACCGAAGAAGAACTCATGCTACAAAACAAGTATCAGAAATTGAGGAAAAAAGTATGATTAGGTTACGAAAATTATCTCGTTTTTTTTGTTTTTTATTCTACTCGCACAACCTTTTACTGGCTATTGTTATTGTTTTTATTAGAAAAAAGCACTTCAAGTACAGAAAACGCCCCGACCTGAGCCTGATACAGCTCCTGTGCTAAATCCTAAGAGACCCAAGGAAACAGCTCGCGATGCTAGAGAAATAGCGAAGAAACTATTGAAATCTGGTGCCATAGGACCGATAAAGAAAGTACCAAATCGTACTGACCAAGAGTCATTCAAAAGACCTTGTGGAATGGAAAGAAAGATGCTGTCTGCTCCTCAGGCTTTGACCAGCTATCAACCATTTTCTGCGCCTTCACCGGTTAAGACAGAAATTCCTGATAGTACTATGAAGCCAGCTGGAGCTGCAAAATTCACAGTACTTGTGGCATATACGAGAATTATTAACAATAAAATTAATGTTAGATTTTTATGCTTACAGAATTTGTATAGTAATTTTGTTTCATCCTCTTCAAAAACTACTCCACCTACGTCAAGTTCACCAGAAACTACTCCTGAATCTCCTCGCAGAGGTATTACCATATTTGTTGGAGGAAGTAGTACAATAACTGAAGAATTCTTAAGAACTACATTTAGTAAATTTGGTTCAATTATTAATATTTCCATGGAAATTGAAAAAAAGTAAGTTATCATTTTAGTCTATACTCGATAGATTTATTAAAATAATTATCCTATTTTTAAAATCTTACTATTTAAACATGTATCAAATTTTAGTCGAGGGTTCATCACATTCAATTCACCAGATACAGCCGATAAAGCTGTAACAGAAGTAAATTCTAAATAATACACTAAATATGTAATGTGAATATAATTGTTAACCTTTGTTTTATTTTCATAGATGAACTCCACCACTGTGTCTGGTATTAAATTAAAAGTATCTATTTCTCGTAATCAACCTATTGAGTTTGGAGAGAAAGGAGTTAATTCATGGAATGCCATAGGTAAGCACTGCATTGAAAATTTTATTGGAATTTTGATAAACTATTTTATATTAAAATGTATTTTAAACATTTTTATGTTAAAATTATCTTATTATTAATACATTTCTAATGTAAAATGATACAATGCATAATATTAAAATTCATAATAATATTAGTTTCCTGAATAATTTAAATTTTTATTTTATTTTTATTGTCCAACTGTTTTTATTTTAAAAATTAATATTTTTTGATAGATATCTACTTGAAATAACTCTTTCATTACATCTTATCACTTTTCAATTAAGTTTTATGTACTTAAAATGAAAAACAAATCTATTTTTACTTTCATAACTCAATGTCATAAGCATTATAATATTTTAATATTTTTAAACGTCGGAACAGATATGATTTAACAATATACTTTTTGGCATGTTGCCAATTAACTTATTTGTCCTTGAATTAAGCTAAAATTATTATACTAATATAAAATTAAAATTCAAGTTAATATGATATTATTATATTTTTATGAAAGAAGTTTAATTAAAAAAATATGTTAATCTTAAAAATAAGTGTTTAAAAGCATTTCATGAATTGAATAGTAAAATGTTTTTGAATTTATAGCCACCAATAAATCACAAAAAGGAAATCAACGAGATGATCGTTCATTGGTGACTTACGACGATTTAATTGAATAGTTTTTTTTTTTTAATTTTTCTATGTAATAAAATTTATTTTTTTTGATAAAATATTATTAAATATTTACATGAAATTGTGTGTATATAATTGTTTTTTTTTTTTTTTTAATCAAATTTTGAATATATAACAAATAAAGGATATTTCTAACATTTTATGTAAATATATTGGTTTTTTTTATAAACTCAAAAGCTAGGACATTATATATTATCAAATGAACCCATTTAAAGTGACATTAAAATATAACAACATTTTGTAATAAAAATAAGAATAAACTGAATATGATAATAATACCTACTATAATATCAAGCATTTGGAAGAAATAAAACTATAACTAAACAAAACAAAACTGGTGACTCTATATTGACTTTTAAAAATGCACATATAGAAATACAATTCTACCTACTTGTTTGACAACATTAATTATTACTGGTACAATATCATAACATGAATGTTATACATATATATATATATATATATATATATATATATATATATATATATATAATTTTTAATTAAGTTTGAACTATATTATACCCTAGTTAAGCTAATTATATTTAGCTCTTCTTGGATTCAGACTGTTAGATGCTACAGAATGGAGACTTGTTCTATGGATAAGGTCTGATACTTACACTACTATTAAATCTTAGTAATTTATTACAATAATCCTGCTTAATAAATGTAAACACTTAACCTAACCTAGATAATCTAAAAATTAGGAGTAATTAATATGGTTCGAATTTACTTTGTTCATTTGTTGTTCAACGTTGGATATAGTTTAAATTATAAAATTGTTCATTTGAATAACGTAGGTTGAACCGTCGATGTACAAATGACACACGACGGTAATATAGAAAATGGCAAGTACAGACAATTATTATGAAGTTATTAATTTTTCTGTTGGAAAATATAAAAAAAAAAAAAAAAATTAAAAATGTAAACGGAAATTCTGTAAGGAACGCATATATAAAATGATGCTGGAATAAGATACTTAATTTTTATATCTGGCCTACTTCAAGTACCTAAATGCTTTCACAGAGTATTGTAAAAAAAACGTAACGATTTGTAATTTTTATAATGCTCGGGATTTATAGTCGACATATCGATGAACAACGAAGAGACAAAAATGATATTAATTAGTTTTTTTTTTTTTTTTTTTTGATATTTATGGTAAACATAATTTTAATAAACACTAGACATTTAAAATGAAAAAAAATTTACGAAATGCAAAACATTAAAGAAACAACGTGGTGAACGCCTGGCTACTGGTTCGAAGGCGGAAACTGAAAGTCCCAGTGGTGGTGATGGATGGTCTTCTCGTTGCCGAATCCCAGTATCAGCATACCGGCGAGTATGATGCTCAGGAAGCACAGGGCGGCCTGCAGGTCCCGCCGCTTCTCGGTGTCCTCCGGTACCACCTGCTGCACCACTTTGTTGAACATGCTGCACACGTTCGAGTGACACAACCGGAACAGCTGACAGCTGAGCTCGGTTATGGACGGATCGGTGGACAGGTCGACGGCGGTGGCGGGGGGCGTGTCGAGCAAACGCTTAGCATCGCCGTTGGCACGTGGCGAGTGTTTATCGGAAGTCGACGGTTTGCTGCGTCGCCGGGGTGGAGTGGGGGCGGCCAACACACTGGACCGATCCTCTTCAGAGTCCACTTCCGGGTACATTGACGAGGACACGCGCGACGACTGCACCGATGCGGCATCGTCCTGTAGTTGGTGATGTTGCAAATCGGTGCACGGCGACGGCATCGCGGTCGCGGCACAAGCCGCCTCCTTCAGCGACGGCACCGTCGCGGTGGCCATGTGCGTGATCTGCACGTCGTCCACGCCCATGCGCTGCCCGCGCAACTCGGCCACCGTCATCTTGCGCACCTGGAGCTCGTTGACGCTTATCCGCTGCGCGCAAATGACGCCGCCGGCCACCGTCGCGTCGCGCGGCAACGTCACGTAACCGTTCTCGACCGCGGCCATCCTCGAGACGGACCGGTCCACGTACTCGGTGCACGTGGTCGAAGTGATCGGGGTCGGCCGGTCCGCGGGAGCCAAGGCCGACGTCCGCGCGGTCGGCGGGCGCGCGGCCGCGGTG